CCTCACATCCTGCTAGACCACCCCCTGTATCTGTGTCTTTTGAGATAAAACCTCACTATGTAGTTCAGATGAAGCTCAAATCACCATCTTCCTACCTGAACCTCCCAAGTACTAACGGAGATTACATGTGTGTGCCATCACACCTAGCTTCCAAGCACACATCAAAGGGTATGTTCCTCAAGATTTAGTTTTGCTTCATTTGTCTTATGTATCCAAGATTGCTTTAAATTCAATATGTAGCTGAAAGTGATCTTTAACTTCTAATCCTCCTGCTTCCACCTCCCAAATGCTGGGATTACAGTCATGGACCAGCACATTCAGTGTATGCTGGGCTAGGAATCAAACCCAGAGCTTTGTGCATGCTATGTAGCACTCCACCAACTGAGCTACACCTCCAACACCTCCAGTTCTTTTACTTCAGTCTTAGAGGTTGAGCATATACCTTATGTGTGGGATTTCATGGCATTAAGTAAGTTCTCTATAAAATCTTGTATCACCTGTACACCATGCTACAGAATAACAGGAAATTATTTTTAACAACCAAGTTCATTTGGGAGACTATCACAAGCTCATTTTCATATACAAATCCCTCTTACCTATAAATGTCCACAGTATACTTATATTAAAAGCATATCATCTGTTTTTCTCCAGCCAAAGGTACCTCCTTCTTTGCCTATTATAAACAGCTTGGCCTGTCATTGATTATCCTAATGCATTAAAAAAAACTTTTCTTGTTAACATTTATTTAGTGTGTGTGTGTGTGTGTGTGTGTGTGTGAGTGAGAAGATGGCAATTTGAGTTCCTTGAATTGCATGCCAAGACCTTATTCAGTGGATTAACAGGTCATCAGGAACTGTGTGCAGTCTGTCTCTGAAGAAATGTAAGAGTGAGATGGAGGAAAGCTGTGGGAATTGATTCTTCCTTTTATCATGTGGGTGGTGTCAGGGACTTAGGTCATTAGGCTTAGTGGCAAGTGTCTTTCCTGCTGAGTCATCAAGCCAGACAACGCACTTTTTTTTTTCTTCCCCAAGACAGGGCTTCTGTAGCTTTGGAGCCTGTCCTACAACTCACTCTGTAGACCAGGCTGGCCATCTGTCTCTGCCCCCCAAGTGCTGGGATTAAAGGCATGCACCACCACTGCTCAGCCACAATGCCTGCTTTTTTTTTTGTACTATACAAACCCCCTAAGCTGAACTTGCATTTAATATTACTATTAATAATGGAGTTGGGAGCTTCAGAAGGAAGAAGTTTTGAGTGGTAGCAGATAGTACTCACTGACAATGGATACAAAGGAAAAGGACAACAGAAATAACCACTGGACATGATCACTTTGGTTCTAGAATCTCTGTAACAATATAGGCAGCTCAGAAACAGAGAAAGGAAACCAGAGGGGCAAGCGTTGATGGCAGCAGTGCACCTGATGTGACCACTCCTCTGCCTCTACCTGCAAAGGCTATCCTTTTCCTTATGACAGCTCTCAACACTAAAGCATCTGGCTCCACCCAGTTCTCTAGCATCTACTTGTACCACTCTGCCCTTGACTTTCAAAACCCTATGTCCTAGCCAGGTCTTTTCTTCCTCACGGCTCTGCACACACTATTACTTTCGTTTGTCATCCCTTCTCTTCCGCATTGCTTCAGCTTCCGAAAAGAAAGCTCCCCCAGTGGCATCCACACCCATGATCTCTTACTACATCTCTCAGTGCTCCCTGACCTTGTCTGGCTTTGGACTCATACTATCTCCTTACAAGCAGTTAGCTCTGTGGTGGCAGAAATTTGGTGTATCTGGTTCTTTGCTGAGCTCAGCACCCAGACTAGCTGCCTGTCACCAGCAAGAACAGCTGTTGAATATAGTTACTGAATAAGTGGCAGAAACACCTAGCCATAGGATCTAGGTTGTTTTGTTTGTTTGAACCAGCTTTCCATTCCCTCAACTGTTAAATTGGGATTATGGTAATTACAAACCTCAGAATTGCTCTGTGGATTAAGAATCAAGGTATGTAGTATGCTTGGTATGTGCATGACATATATAGTAAGTGTTAGGAAACATTAGCAGTTATCGTCATCAAAAAGAAACTCTCTGAGTATCCGAAACTCTTAAACACTGTTGGTAGGTATAAGCATAATACCCTTATAATTGTAAACACAAATAGATCATACCACTTAGCAATCTTACTTCAAGGTATACACCTAAGTGAATGGAAAACTTATACAAAAATGTAGACAGGAATGTTTATAGCAGCTTTATTCATAACTCCTTAGAACTGAAAACAACCCAAATGTTTTTAAATAAGTGAGTAGATAAGTCAATGGAGTACTACAGAGCAAGAAACAAACTGATGACACAAGTAATAACATGGTGAATCACAAATCCATTATGCTAAGTGAGAGAAGAAAGACTGACATACTGTATTATTCCATTTAAAGGAGTTTATATGACATTCTGGAAAAACCAAAACTCTAAGACTAAAGCTCAGGCCAGTGGTTTTCAGATAACAGTGGATGTGAAGAAAAGTGGGGGGGGGGGGGTGATGGAAATGTCCTGATTGGATTGTGGTGTGCTTGCGTGACTATATGCATTTATCAAAGCTCATGGCACTGGAAACCGAAAAGGGCTAATTTTACTGTATGCAAATTATATCTAATTTACAATAGAAAAATAAAACAATAGATAAAATTGCATTTTCTTTTAGGAATGGTACACAAGGTTTCCTTCCTTTCTCTTTCTACTCACTGTATCCCCTTTCATCTTTCTGTTTTACTTTATTTCTAAATTTCTTAATTTTGTGTGTATGGGTGTTTTGCCTACATGTACATCTGTGCATGGTGTCCAAGAGGTCATAAAAGGTGCTGGATTCCTTGGAACTGGAGTTACAGACCATTGTGAGCCACCATGTGGGTGGTGGGAACTGGAACCGCTCCTATGGGAGAGCAGCCAGTGCTCTTAACTGCTGAGTCATTTCTCCAGCCTCTTTATTTTTTTTTCAAGACAGGGTTTCTCTGTGTAGCCCTGGCTGTCTTGGAACACATTCTATAGGCCAGGCTGGCCTCCAACTCACAGAGATCCTCCTGCCTGTCTCCCACATGCTGGGATTAAAGGCATTTGCATTCGCTACTACCCCTCCCCCTTTATCTTTTAATTATGTATATGTGTGTGTCTGCCTCACGTGTGTGTGGTTGCTCTTGGAGGACAGAAGAGGATGTTCTGTGCCTCGGAGCTGGAGTTACGTGTGGTTGTGAGCTGTGCAGTGAAGGCCCTGGGAACTGAACTCAGATCCTGGGTCCTCTGGAAGAACAGAGTGCACTTTTAACTGCTGAGTCATCTCTCCGGCCTTTGGTTTTGATTTTTGAGTTTCACCACATAGTCCAGCTGGCCTCCAACTCTCCATCTTTCCACTTCCGTTTTCCAGAGTATAGGCATGTGCTACCACATCTTATGTTTTCTGATAATAAAGACTGACACATAAAGTTTCTAATAATACTATATGCTCATTTTAGACATGTGGGAGCATGCAGAAAAAATATTTCCTTGTCATTGACTTTTGGTTGAGACAGGGTCTCATGTAGCCCAGGCTGGCCTCAAACTCACTATGTGGTTGAGGTTAGCCTTAAAATCCTTGTCCTCCAGCCTCCATCTTCTAAGTGCTGGGATTATAGGCTAGTGTCATCACAACAAGCCAGTTTTGCTTTCAGAAATATACAGTCTTCTTTCCAAAACACAATTGTGTACACTCCCATGTCATTCAATAATTTTCAAAACCATAATTTTATGAATCAATAATATATATACATATATGTATATGTATGTATGTGTGTATGTGTGTGTGTGTGTGTGTGTGTGTGTGTGTATGTGTGTGTGTGCCAAAAGTGCGGAGGTCAGAGGACAACTTTCAGGAGTCAGGACTCTCTTTCCACCATGTGGTTCTGGGATGAATTCAGGCATGAGGCTTGGGAGCAAGCGTTCTACTGGCTGAACCATCTCGTTGATCCCACACCCTCCTCCTGCAATTTATATTTTTAAGTATTTCTTTGTTGCTAAAAATTACATTGCTCACACAATTTTTTTGCAAAACTAAAACTACAATAAAGTTCCATCCCCAACACTGCCACATTTTTTAAATGAAAAAAGCAGAAAAAAATATATATATCCCTGAAGCAATTTTGAAACATAATAGAAGTTCAGCAGGGCCAGAGAGAGACTCCTCTATAGAGGGTTTCACAACGTTGAACTGGTAAGGCAACCTTCCCTTGGCTACAACTCCCTTATTGTTCAGGTTATTGCTGGAAAAGTGGTTCCACAGGGTGATCTGGCTCCTGTCTTTGTGATGCACCAGGCTACACATCCTAACATTTCCTGTACTACCAGCTTATATTTGCATAGTACTTCCAATATTTAATGCTCACCCCATCTAACGTAGCCTAAGCAGGGCAGATGGGAGTACTTTGTTCAAGATCGTAGGCTTATCAGGAGTGTAAACACGGATGTACAGCCCGGATATTATTCGATCTTCAAAAACACTTTCTAGCATTGGGTCGCTTTGTCCCCCAACCCCCACCCTAGCAAGGAGGCTTCGGACATCTCTGCTCAGTGGATCCTTATCTAAGGAGCAGACGCTCTCCCAGCCTTCACATGTCCTTGGCAACACTGTCACTTACCAGCTGGGGTCATTTCACTCCCGATGGCAGGGGGACACATACTGACCCTTACCAAGGAGGCCCAGCGTGCGGGTGGCACTGTGACTCCGTGGCCCGCGGGGCTTGCTGCCCATCCGTCGCGACACTGTCGGGGTTGCCGCTCTCTGGGGCGCTCCCGCGGCACAAAGGCGCCGGTTGGGGGACGCGCCCTGGGTGAGGGGGAGAGGCCCTCCACCGGCTTAAGGACTGGCAACGGGCGACCAGAGAACCTGAGGTTAAGGGCTGCCTGAGGACAGTCCCGGGACTTGACAGCCATGTCTCCAGAGGTCAGTCCTCCGCTATCCCAGAGTCCCCCGGTTCCCGGAAGTGCCGGCTCTCCGGAAGTGCCAGACTAGCTGAAGGAGTAGCGGCTTTCTCGAGCGCTGTACCTGGTGGGTTGTTAATTCTAGGGTCCTAGTGACAGTGCAAGAGCAGGGTTGGAGCCGAACGTCGAGTTTGAGCGGCGGGATGATGGAGGAGGAGGAACTGGAGTTCGTGGAGGAGCTGGAGGCTGTGCTACAGCTCACGCCTGAGGTGCAACTAGCCATAGAGCAGGTGAGCGCTCCACCTCCTCAGGGGGGCGCTCTGGGGGAGGGGCGGCTCTGGGTCAGGTCGGAACCCACCCTCCTAGACTGAAAAGGTGGCGGCTCGGCGCGCAGAGGGGGTCTGGATTTTGGTGGAGGTGGGAATGCGTCCTCTCTAGGCTCAGGTTGCTACGCCTGCTGCGTTTGAGCCGAGATGCTGTGCTCTTTGCCAGGATGAACCTAGGAGAAACCTCGGTGACTGGATAATTCATATCATGGGAAATTTATGAGACCTCATTTTCCAGACTAATGCAGCTTCTCCCGTTTCTCAAGTTAAACCCTGGAGTGGTTAGGAATTGGCTGCGGGAGATTTTCATTCCCGAAGCAAATGGCAGAATGGCGGGGGCGGGGGTGTCATCCTAAAAAATGACTTTTGTGTTGTGTGTGTGTGTGTGTGTGTCTGTGTGTGTGTGTGTGTGTGTGTGTGTGTGAGAGAGAGAGAGAGAGAGAGAGAGAGAGAGAGAGAGAGAGAGAGAGAGAGAGAGAGAGAGAGAGAGAGAGAGAGCGTGAGAGAGAGCGTGCACTTGGTACAAGCGGATTATCTGGGAAGAAAAAGCCTCAATTGAGGAATTACCCCCATCGGATTGGCCCAGGGGCAAGTCGGCAGGGCATTTTCTTGTTTGATGATGTAGGAATGGCCCAGCCCACTGTGCGAGGTACCACCCCTGGGCAGCTGGGCCTAGGCTGTGTAGAAAAGCAGCTTAGGAAGCCATGGAAAGTAAGCCATTAAGCAGCGTTTCTTATGGTTTCTATGGTTTCTGCTTTAGTTCCTGCCTTAGCTTCATCTGATGATGCACTGTAACTTGTAAGCCAAATAAACTCTTTTCTTCCCAATTTGCTTTTGGAAAGCAAACTAAGACAGACCTTTACTATAATTAAAAGGTTGAGGGACCATCGAGATGGTTCAGTGGGTAAAGGGACTTTACCACCAATCCAGGTGGCCTGAGTCTGTTCCTCAGAACCCTCAAAGTAGAGGGAGAGAACTACTTTTGACCTGCACATATACATGTGTGACTGTGTCCCAACATAAACATAGGCCACACACACATAAATACAGTAAAAATGTTAAAAGATTGAGAATTTTTGCTATTTGGCTACATTGGAAAATATTCCTGAGTCCTTTCTTCCCAACAAGTTCTCTTGTTGACTAAATCTCCTTGTCCAGTATATTAATATTTATGGTAAACATACTAGAAGTAATTGTTTAAGCCCCATATAGGTTTTGTTCTTCATAAAGGGAGGAAGATCTTCCTTAAGGAATTGACATGGGATTATGATGTAAGAAAAAGCACATTAGGAGCTAGGGATATGTTAAAGCACTTGTTGAATGTGCCTTAGGATCTAGGTTCAATCCCCAGTAGTAGTGGAAAAGAACAGAAAGGAATAGCATGCCTCATTTAATGACTATTAGGAAGTTTGCCCAATAACATATTAATTCTACTATATAATTAGTATATGTGGACAATTGATATTTTTATTGTCTTTTTTTTTTTTCCAAGACAGGGTTTCTGGGTAGCCCTGGCTGTCCTGGAATTTTCTTGGTAGACCCAACTCAACCATTAATAATTAACCTTGGTTCTGCCACTGTACTATAAATACTGTGCTTATATTGTCCCACTTACAGATTTTCTGTGTGTGTTTTGGAGGAATGCTAGTCTTACTCCTACAAACCACATTTGTTACATTTCAAGGCTGATATCCTGTTGGGTAAAATTTAGAGTGCTGGGGCCATGCTCCTTCAGTTTCTGCTTCCTTCAGCCAGAAAATGCCTACATTCCAGTTGTACTTCAGACTTCCTGTCTCTGATGGAAGAAACAATATGGTCAATTACTGTTTGAATTGGAAATGTCAAAATATCACATTGTTGTTGTTATCACATGTTGTAATACAGTTTCTTTTTTTTTTTTTTTTGTTTTTTGTTTTTCGAGACAGGGTTTCTCTGTGGCTTTGGAGGCTGTCCTGGAATTCGCTTGGTAGTCCAGGCTGGCCTTGAACTCACAGAGATCCGCCTGCCTCTGCCTCCTGAGTGCTGGGAGTAAAGGCATGCGCCACCAACGCCCGGCTTGTAATACAGTTTCTTTATTTTTTATTTTTATTTTGTTAAGATAGGGTTTCTTTGTGTAGCCCTGGATGTCCTGGAACTCACTCTATAGACCAGGCTGGCCTGGAACTCAGAGATCCACCTGCCTCTACCTCCTTAGTGCTGGACTTAAAGGCATGCGCCTCCACCTGGCTACATTTTTTTCTGTTCTCAAGTTTTCAAGGTTTAGTTAGCAGACACCTAATGTCAAGATGAGTTTAGATCTTTTTCTTATTTTATTAGTTCAAGATTCTAAAGATCCTGCAAGTAGTTGTGCAATAGCATTATTGTAAAGAGTATTAGATAACAGGTTGATATTACAGAATCACATCTTACCCGGAGGTCAGTTCCCGAGACAGTGAGTACCACTTCAGCCATCCATGTTCCTCTTGAAAGTCTTTGAACTGTCCATGAGATACAGTGTCTAAAGGCCTTTTGATGAAGAGTCTCGTGTTTCCTCTGCTGGCACTGGAGCCAGCTGTGCTCTTCGTGGGTGTCACCGGAGGAAGTAGCTGAAGTCAAGGGCTGTGGCCTTGTGTGAAATCTGTTAATGCCTGGGATGATACTCGGGGACTAAAAGAGAGGAATGCAGAAACCGGGAGCAGCTAGAGGAAGTGGATAATCCCCTTACTTCCTCATACCGGCCCACAATGGCGGGCCCTGATCCCCATCACTCCCTCTGCCCAGGGCATGTAATTAATTGTGTAATCCTATGTGCATGTGGTGTACTCCCACCATAGGTGTACAGTGTGAGGTGGAAATGATGGGGTTCTTTTGTTTGCTGCTTTTGGATTTTGGAGACAGGGTTTCTCTGTGTAGCTTTGTCTGTCCTGGAACTCGCTCTGTAGACCAGGCTGGCCTCAAATTCACAGAGATCCACCTGCTTCTGCCTCACAAGTGCTGGGATTAAAGGCGTACACCACCACCATCCTGCTCAGTTTTCCTTTTTTTTTTTTTTTTTTTGGTTTTTCGAGACAGGGTTTCTCTGTATTGTTTTGGAGGCTGTCCTGGAACTCGCTCTGTAGACCAGGCTGGCCTCGAACTCACAGAGATTCGCCTGGCTCTGCCTCCCGAGTGCTGGGATTAAAGGTGTATGCCAACACTGCCTGGCAAGTTTTCCATTTTTTGATGTTATCTGAAGCATAAAGATTTCTTCAGGGCTAGCAGAAGCTGTAGCTTAAGTTGTAGAAGATTGCCTCGCACAGATGAGGCCCTGGGGCTTGATCCCCAGCACTACAATATAAACTGAAAAACCTCGGCATCAAAGCGCCGGGCACTGAACCGAACCCTCTGCCCAAGAACCGGGGCCAGACCACTGGCTGCAAATGCAAGAGGTGATTTACTGAGTACACAGGCGCCTGCGGATGCTACTGCAACTCGGGTGCAGAGCATACCGGGCTTTCAGGGAGTACAATATTTATAGAGTTTCAATGGTTACATAAGTAACAGGCATTTCATTGGCTCATCTTGGGGGCAGGGGTAGTTCCCACGGACTAAGTTTCCTGGTATTACTTTATGAAAGACCCAGGCATACTTCAGCAATTATTATCCTGGTCCCATGACTACTATGGTGATCATAGACACAACTGGGGGCAAGGGTAGTTGCCAAGGACTAGGTGTCCTGGTATTGTCATATGAAAGTTCCCAGCACGCTTCAGTAATTATTATCCGGGTCCCATGATTGCTATAGTGATCAGACACAATTGGGGGCCAGGGTAGTTGCCAAGGACTAGGTTTTCTAGTATTGTCATATGAAAGTTCCCAGCATGCTTCAGCAATTATTATCCGGGTCCCATGACTGCTATAGTGATCACAGACATCCTGTTTTGAGGGTGAGACACCTGGTCTGGGTTTCTTTCATTAGGCAATGGCCTGGCCTTGCTTTTCTTTTCCTAGGGGGTCCTGGGTAGGGGTCTTTCAAAACATATGTACATGCACATACATATTGTTTTGTGTGCGGAGGAGGGACCAAACGTTTTCTTTCTGCAACATTTTTTTTTTTGAGCCAGAGTCTCATATTACTCAGGCTAGCCTAAGACTTCCTATGTAGCTGACAGTGATGACCTCAAATGCCCGGGCTTACTGGCTTTGCGACACAACATGTGACTAGACAGACACGAATTATAAGAAAATATTTTATTTTATTTTCCAGTTTAAATTTAGATAAGAAACAAGGTTGCTTCACAAGTCAGTTCCAGGTCCCTCTCCCTTTCCCTCCCCTCCTCCCGTGCCCTCCCCCCACCCCCCCCCATAAGAAAATATTGAATAGGTAAATGTTACTTCAGTGTATGTGACTACTGCCGTTCAGGCAACCAAGACTGTCAGCAAGGTTTCTGTGTCCTCTACTAGTAGGAGGTGTCCACATTGCAGTGTTTTATTGTGTAGGATATCAGCACTACAAGGGTTAAAAATTAAAGATTTACTTTGGTAGGTACTCTCATCCAAAAAATTTGTTTCTTTTAACATATCTATATCTATATATATATACATATGCATGTGCACATATATGTATATATAGATATAGATTTTTTTGTCACAGTTTTGGAAGTCTAAAATCTTGACTCAGAAATATTAGCAGGAGCCAAGCATTCTGGCATACCTCTGTAATCCAAGTACTTGGGAGACTAAGACAGGAGGACCAGTTCAAGGCCAGCTTGGGCCATATAATGAGTTGCAGGGTATTCTGAGCTACATGGTAAGATCATCTCTCAAAAAACCAAACAACAAACAGCATCAGGAAGCAGCATCTGTAGGCCCACACTTGCTCTGAATACTCAGAAAGACTTGTTAGTTGGCGTGTCTTGCTTCTGATTTTTGCTGACACTTTTTGATGCTCCTTAACTTTTATCTTCTCATGACTTTTCTCTCTTGTCTCCGGATTCCTGTGTCCCAGCATCTACTTATTTTCTTGAGAATCCGCTATACATGAAGCATTATAAAATGAAAAAATTGGAAATTTTCTGTTTTTGTTTTGTCTTCAAGAACCTACTGTCTAAGCTGGACTATGGTGGCACACACCTTTAATTCCAGCACTTGGGAGACAGGCCGGTGGATCTCTGTGAGTTGGAGGCCAGCCTAGTCTATAGAGTTCCAGGATAGCCAAAGCTACACAGAGAAACCCTGTCTTAGAACAAAAAAAAAAAAAAAAAAAAAAGAACCTACTGTCTAATACAAAGATTAAATTTTGAATTCCCTATTTTTATAATTTTATTCCCTTGTTTTAGTATTCTCTGTGTGTGTATGTGATGTGATACTTGGGTGCATGTGTCTTAGCTTCTATGTGGAGGTCAGAAGACAACTTTGTGAAATTGAATTCTGGGGATCCAACTCAGGGCGTTAGGCTTGAATGACAAGTACCTTTGCTGGAGTCATCTTGCTGGTCCTGTTTTTTCTAATTGGAACCAAAACCAAAACCAAAAAAGCCAAAACAGACCTGTATATATCTGTAATGTCCAACATGTTTTAATTAATAATCCCATTTTTAATATAGGTATTTCCAAGCCAAGATCCTCTCGATCAAGCTGACTTCAATGCTGTTGAGTATATCAATACTCTGTTCCCAACAGAGCAAGTAAGTATACAGCTTTAGGTTTCCTTCTTCCCAGTGGCTTCTGGCTTATCCTGTGTGTAGGGACTAGTGTGATAACAAATGACATTAAATTCAAATCAAACGCCACCGTAACTAACTGGGTCAGTTAGCCAATTGAAGTAGCAGAGTTCTTCGTTTGCAGAACATATTATTAGAAATTGTACCTCTAGTTAGTGAGAGTCTCCCTTATCCCTCACCATATTTTGTGTTATAAATTGGGGTCATAATATAGGAGGGAAAAGTAGGGGTGAGACAGGCAGGATAAATCCCAACTTACAATGCAGCATTTAAAATGTAAAGTTGTAGACATTTTATTTATGTTCTCATGTGTGATTTGCCTAAATGGGGTTTTCTTACAGCAATCCATAGTTAAAAGCTGGAAAATTGAAGGAAGGCCTCATTGGCAAGCACTAAGATGACATACATATGTGTGTCACCATGCCCAACGTTGGGTTTTTCATTTATTCACTAAGCCAATGTTTACTGGGTACCTGTCGTATGCTGTCAATCACTGTCCTGAGCATGGGCTGCATCCTTGCCACTAAAGTGTGTGTGATCAGAGCAGACAGGACACTGTTGAGTGCTGTGAGAGACGGGAGGAAGAGTGCAGTGAAAAGACAGGGTTCTTTGGAAAATCTAAACCCAGAAGCTTTCAGCCAGCTCTTTTTCTTTTTCTTTTCTTTCTTTTTTTTTGGTTTTTTGAGACAGGGTTTCTCTGTGGCTTTGAGGCTGTCCTGGACTCTTGTAGACCAAGCTGGTCTCGAACTCACAGAGTTGTGCCTCCCGAGTGCTGGGATTAAAGGCGTGTGCCACCACCACCTGGCTCAGCCAGTTCTTGAAGGGTTCATTTATTCAGTCAGCCAGTCAAACTTTCCAGTCGCTTCTGAAGTGTATTAAGTACAAGGACTGTTTTAGAAACTAGAGAGAAATGGTCTATGTAGCAGGTTAGTTTCTGGTCTCATGGAGTGAGCATGAGAAGGAAGACAAGAAATAAACAAACAAGAAGTGATTCAGTATGGCTGGTGATCTGCTGGGAGCATGTGTAGCCATCGAACATGGTGGCATGGACAGAATCCTTTTAAAAGAGCCTAAAGGGAGGCTCTCTCTCAGGCAGTTCCTGTTATACCGAGGCCTAATACCAGAGGAGCCAGGCCTTTGGCAGTCTGTGATCTTGTGAAACACTATTCTAGATGAGGTAAAGACAGGAAGACAGGGTAAGAAGGTCACACTAAAAGTAGGAGGCAGGAGGACAAGTGAGGAGTGTAACACAAAAGACCCTCAGAGAAATGCCAAGAGCCTCATGGGTAGGCTGGGTGGAGAGAACACGGCCTGAGATGGAGCCACTCAGTTTGTGCTTGAAAAGATGAAAGTAGAGGCCTATGCAAACAAAATCCATCCATTCTTTTACTCATTGAGGCTGGTAGAGAGAACTTGATTCCAAGATGGAAGAGTCAGCCATCAGAGATAGTCTTTATGAACTCAGAACTTACAGTCTGCCTTCATAATCTTCATAGCACTTACATTTAAAAGGAAATAAGCATTTGTCTGTGTCAGTAGTAATTATTGTATTGTACACATCTACCACAACTATACTGTTAAGATTTAGCATTGATCTGGCATCGGTTGCACTAGGCATTCTAGACATTCAGCAGCGATGGATTCTCCACTGTGTTGATGCTCTTGTGCAGTGAGGGTAATGAGCAGAGCAATAAGTAAACATGACAGAACACTCAGCTGAAATGTGATATTGGATATGCTGCAAGCAGGGTTAAGAATCCTGAGGCTTCCCTGCGGAATGACACATAGGATCTTAAAGTTTTCCTGACTTTAATAACAAGTTATCTGTCTGTCTGTCTATCTCCTTTTTTTCTGATTTGTTTGACAGTCTAGTTTTTAAAAATACATTACTTTTTTTTTTTTTTTGGTTTTACAAGACAGGGTTTCTCTGTATTGTTTTGGAGGCTGTCGGTCTAGCCTGGCCTCGAACTCACAGAGATCCGCCTGCCTCTGCCTCCCGAGTGCTGGGATTAAAGGCGTGCGCCACCACCGCCCAGCAAAAAATACATTACTTTTTAAAATAAAATTTGAAAAATGTTGAATTGTGTGATTGTCTTTTTGGAAGTTTTGTAGTTAGCCTCCACTGCTCAGCATTTCTGAGAAGGGAAGTTGGGGTTAGCTAGTGATAGAGGCTTGGTAACAACTGGCTTCAGAGAGCCTTTTTCTGCTTATCAGGAATGCCGATTTGCTGGGGGGTGATGACGCACACCTTTGGCCCCAGCACTCATGAGGCAGAGGCAGGAAGAGCTCTGTTGTGAATGTGAGGCAAATCTACTCTATGTAGCAAGTTCCAGGACAGTCAGGGCTACATAGTAAGATCCTGTCTCAAAACAACAAAAAGAATGCCAATTCAACTAAACAAACAAACAAACAAAAATCAGTGTTTGAAATTCCATAGGAAGCTGCCAGGTTTTTCACCTCTCTCTGAAATGATTGTATACACACACATATTTAAAGATTTCTAAAAATGTATTGTTTGCATTCCAATCCTAATCTCCCCCTCTCGCCTCCCCCTCTTTCCCCCCACCCCACTTCCTATCTGCTCCTCAGAGAGGGTAAGTCCTCTCCTAAGTTTGTCCTCTCATCTCCTTGAGGCAGCCCCCTCCCCCAGGCTGGCAAAGGTATTTCTCCATATAGAATGGGCTCTACAAAGTCAGTTTCTGCGTTAGAGTTAGATCTTGGACCTATTCATACACACACTTTTTTAAAGTGAAGCATGTTGTTCCCCAGATTCAGTTCTATGTCTTGTCTGATCATGATGCATGATAGTATGCAGTGAAGTTTCTTTTTTTCTTTTCTTTTTTTTCTTTTTTTTTTTTTCTTTTTTTTGGTTTTTCAAGACGGTTTCTCTGTGGCTTTGGAGGCTGTCCTGGAACTAGCTCTTGTAGACCAGGCTGGTCTCGAACTCACAGAGATCTACCTGCCTCTGACTTCTGAGTGCTGGGATTAAAGGTGTGTGCCACCAACACCCAGCTAAGGAGTAAAATTTTTGTGACTGGGTTCAAATCTCCGCACCCACACAACCAACTGAAATGCCAGTTCCACACATTCCAGTGTCCTCTTACAGTCTTCTCAGGCACCATACATCTGGCGCACATACATACATGTAGACACTCACGTATAACTAAACAAACTTTTTTGACTTTTTAACTGTGGTACACACCTGTAACCGTACTGCAGGAGGGTCATGAATTGAAGTCAAGCCTTGTCTAGTGGCAAAATCATGTCTAAAAAAGAATTATAAAAAATAATTTTTACTGACCTCAAGATGCTCTGAGTCTATTATCAAGAAGAAAGAAAAAAAAAAGAAAAAAGAGAGCAAACAAACAAAACCCAGGTGGCAAATAACTCTAGTCTGTCTCTTAAAAAAGCATCTGTTTTCACAGAAAGAAGAGTAAATACTCATAGCACTTACACCTTCCTGAGGAAAGGGTTATTTTACCGAACTATTAAAATGAAGGAAATACTTTTCAATAATTGGAACATTTAGCAGTACAGCCCTATTACAGTCAAGCCAGATGAGTAATTGTCAAAGACATGTACCAATTCCAGTGATGTGTCTAGTTGCTGGATTCCCACAGGCCTTTCCTCCAACTCCAGGGAAGACTCCCACATCATAGGCTTCACTGAACCGTGGGGTGTGGCAGCTCCATCAGAAACAGGTGTTGCAGAGAGGTAGCATGGCCTGGGGGTATAGCTCAGTGATAGAACATTGACCTACCATGCACCAGGCCCCAACAACTAAAACAAGCCCAAAGATATTGATATTGATATCTCTCTATCTATCACACATACGTATATATAATATAATATATATGAGCAATGACTATAATCAGAAATATCTCCACAATCTTAGACAAAAATCTGTCCTGTCAGAATCTACTTCCTAAATTTTAACCCGGAGGTGGATAGTAGTGTACCTCATATGGCTCGGGGTTAAGGAAAAGAATTTCTGTGAAGTGACCACACTAAACATTAGCACTCTCTCCCTCATGTTTGTCCAATAGGAAAGCTGTAAAACTGATGAAGTGTGGCCTATTTTTGAGAGAGAGAGAGAGAGAGAGAGAGAGAAAGAGAGAGAGAGAGAGAGAGAGAATTAGGGATTGAATCTAGGACTTAATGCATGCTAGGCAAGTGCTCTACCACTGAGCTATGTACTGAGTCCTCTTTCTCTTTTGATAACCTTATTCTTGGATGGCCAGGTCCTTGTCTCCTAACCTGCCTGTCCAGTGTCTCTAGGGGTAGCAGAAGGGCCATCAGATAAATATGCCCTTAAGATCTATTTTTTTCTATCGATGGGCCTTGTCTACAGGTTTCTGCTAATTTTTGTGTGGATGTGTGGGTGTGCAGGGTTACTTTTGCCATGGTGTGTGCTCTTGGAGGTTAGGGGACAGCTTTTGGAGGTAGTTCTCTCCATCCACTACAGGGTCTGGGTCAGGCTTACACAGCAAGTTCTTTTGCCTGCTGAGCCATCTCACCAGCCCTCTCTGATTTTTAAAGTGCAGCTGCACATCTGTATAATTATTTTGGGTGATTCTTAGGAAACAGTGTTGTGGTTTAACCAAGACCTTCCTGTCTCAGGATTATCAAATTCAAGAAATGGCATGGAATAGCTGAGTAAAAAGGCAGGGTGCAGTCCACCCTCGATGTACTTTTTACTCAGACTGTTGGAGAAAGTAAACCAGAAGTTGGCTCAAATCTGTGGCCTCTGCTAAAGAGAAACTGCAGGGTAAGCAAAAGCCTGCACTTCACTGCACGCTCTAGCTGTCTAGATTTTTGGTCATGTATATGTTTGAACAATTTAAAATGCCTCCTTGTAGAGAGAAGCCTTTTCCTTGCCAGCCACTATGGTTTTTACCCCGCCAGTTGCCTGGGCTCTGCTGTGTTGTAGTCCCCAAATAACACACAAGACACTGTATTAATTATGAAGCTGTTGGCCTTGCTTGTTTCTTACTGGCTAGCTCTGACTTTAGTATTTAACCCATCTAAGTATTTCTCTTACTGGACGGACATCTTACTTCTCTGGCGGGCTACATGATGACTCTCTGTGTTTCTCCTACCCAGAATCCTCCTCGACTCCTAGTCCCACCTATCTTGCTTCCCTATTGGCCAACAGTGCTTTATTGACATATACACAGGACTTCCCCATCACCTCATAACTATTTTATATTTGTAATTAAAAGTCTTATAATCTATAATTATATATGCTATATACATAATTATATATAAGTCATATTATTTTTAATAGTGTCCCTGATTTAGAAAGGTGTGATGACAAATTCCTGACTGTCTTTATCCAGATTTCTCAAATGCTAGTTTACAAAAGAATTGTTTTTTTTTATTTTATGTATATATGAGTGTTACACCTGCGTGTTAAATACACCACATGCTTCAGTGTCCACAGAGCCCAGAAAACATTGTTGGAATTGGGTGTTAGATTCCCTGGAACTAGAGTCACCAGTGTGGAACCAACCCTGGGTTCTCTGCAAGAGCAGCAAGTGCTCTTAGTCACCAGGCCACCTCTCCAGCCCTTTAATGCTAACATTAATAATTTTATTGTTGTTGTTTCTGCAAGAGCAGCAAGTGCTCTTAGTCACCAGGCCACCTCTCCAGCCCCTTAATGCTAACATTAATAATTTTATTGTTGTTGTTTCTGCAAGAGCAGCAAGTACTCTTAGTTACCAGGCCACCTCTCCAGCCCCTTAAATGCTAACATTAATAACTTTATTGTTGTTATTTTTTGAGACAGTTTCTTTGTGTAACAACCCTGGCTGTCCTAGAACTCACTCTGTAGACCAGGGTGGACTCGGACTTACAGAGATCTTCCTGTCTCTGTCTCCCAAGTGCTGGGATTAGGGGTGTGTGCCACGATGACTATTTTGTTTGTTTGTTTTTGGTTTTTGAGACAGGGTTTCTCTGTGGCTTTGGAGGCTGTCCTGGAACTATCTCTTGTAGACCAGGCTGGCCTTGAAATCACAGAGATCCACCTGCCTCTGCCTCCTGAGTGGTGGGATTAAAGGCATACGCCACCATTGCCCGGCCAACCAGTTATTTTAAAATTTTTTTAAAAAGATTTATTTAGCCGGGCGTTGGTGGCGCACGCCTTTAATCCCAGCACTTGGGAGGCAGAGGCAGGCGGATCTCTGTGAGTTCGAGGCCAGCCTGGTCTACAAAGTGAGTTCCAGGACAGCCTCCAAAGCCACAGAGAAACCCTGTCTCGAAAAACCAAAAAAAGAAAAAAAAAAGATTTATTTATCTATTATGTATACAGTGTTCTGTCTGCATGTATGCTTGCAGGCCAGAAGAGGGCACTAGATCTCATTACTGATGGTTGTGAGCCACCATGTGGTTGCTGGGAATTGAACTCAGGACCTCTGGAAGAACAGTCAGTGCTCTTAATTGCTGAACTATCTCTCCAGCCCACAGCTGGATTTTAAAACATTTTTAAAAAATGTGTGTGTGGGGGGGAGTGGAGAGTGGATTATGTGTCTGTGTGTGTGTGAGTGAGTGAGAGAGAGAGAGACAGAGACAGAGAGAGACAGAGAGACAGAGAGAATGAATATACACATGGACTGGTGAGAAGACTCAACAGGTAGCAGGTAAAGGCATCTGCTGCTAAGTCTGAGGACCTGTGTTTGATCCTGGGAACCCACATAACAAAAGAGAGCAGACTCTCACAAGCTGTCCTTTGTCCTTTACACTCAAGCCATGGTACTTAGACACACACATAAAAACACGTACAAATAAATGAAACATCATAAAATTTTTATGTTTTATTTATGTGTGTATCTATGTATGATTGGGCAACTTCAGGGGCCAGAAGAGGCTCAGAGTTCCTTCAGCTGGATTTACAGGCAATTATGGTGCTGGGAACTGAATTCAGGTCCTCTGGAAGAACAAGTGCGTTTAACTGCTGAGCTGTCTCTCCAGCCACACACACACACACACACACACACACACACACACACACACACACAGACACACACAGACACACAAACACACAATTTAAAGAATATATACAGCCATTTGTTGAATTTGATAATCCTTAGACAAGAAGGCCTTGTTTAAACCATAACACTGTTTTCTAAGAATCACTCAAAATAATTACACAGATGTATAACTGCATTTTAAAACATGATACAAAGAATATATATTTTAAAGAATATATGTACACCTTTAACCAGTACTCAGGAGGGAGAGGCAGGTGGATCTCTGTGAGTTCAAGGTTTGTCTGGTCTACGAGGTGAGTTCCAGGACAGCCAGGATTACACAGTGAGTCCCTGTCTCCAAATAGCAATAACACACACACACACACACACACAAAATCATCATTGCTGTTTTATTTTAAAGATTTATTTATTCATTACCTATACAGTGTTCTGTCTGCATGTATCACTGCAGGCCAGAAGAGGGCACCAGATCTCATTACAAATGGTTGTGAGCCACCATGTGGTTTCTGGGGATTGAACTCGGACCTCTAGATGAGCAGTCAGTGCTCTTAACCCCTGAGCCATCTCTCCAGCCCCATTGCTGTTGTTTTAGTTGTGGGTTCCAGCAGTTAGTAGGGTCAGGAACTGTTACTCCCATTTTCCTAGAAACTCAGGAAGGTTGAAGAACTGCCCTCCAGCAAGTTGGCAGTAGCAGAGGTGGACCAGACAAAAGGTCCTGGACAGGTCATCAGTGTTCCTACATGGATGGCGATTTAAATCACACCCAGTCCAGTTTGAAGGGACTAACTTAACAGAGTAGGACTAATTTCATCCCAGCTGAATTGCATTTCTCCAACAAAGTCACTTCTCTTTTCCACATTTCACTTTTTCTCTTGGATTTTTGAAAATTCAGAGTAAACCTTGGCTTAAAAGGAGAGTTGTGAACAGGCTACTGTGGCATCTCAAGTCTGTTCCTGGAAGGTTTCTGGCTTCTTCCTGTCAGCAGAGAGCCAGAAGCAATTTTTTAAGCATAGTTCCTCCTGAGAAAAAGTTTCTGTTGGGGAACTAGAAAACTACCATCCTTTCCATCTTCCACCAGGGGGCACCATTTCATCACATTTTCTCTCTAGGTTCGTTTGTTTTCCTAGTCTGTGACCATCATTACAGATGAATTAAAGTGTAGGCAATTGCACTCAGAGGCAAAAAGAAGAAACATTGAAATTCTTTTCCTCAAGCTACTAATTCAGATTTTCTACATTCCAGCCACTGGCTTGTTACAATGTATGGTCTTCCAGACATTTTCCTAATGTATCTACTTTCATAAAAGTAACTTTACTTGCTTAGTGAAGGGTAAGTGTTATAGAGAGGAACTTACTCTGTAGACCAGGCTGGCCTCAAGTTCACTGATTGACCTATCTGCTGGGATTAAAGGTGTGTGCCACCATGCCAGGCTGTATTTTTCTTCTTTTCTTTGAGAAAGAGTCAAACTTGTGATCCTCCTGCTTCAAACTCCTGAGTGCTGGGATTACAGGTGTGTACCATTATGCTTAGCGTTAGCAAACAAATATTAAGTGAGTAGCTTGATGAATGTTCCCAGTTGAAGGGCTCTGTCACTCAGGGAGGACCTTGAGGACTAGTACCTTGTCCTCAGAGGGCCTCTCGGCTTTCTGCAGTCACTGGCTTCTTCAGAGAGCTGTTGTTCTGGTTTCTAAGGTGAGAAGTAATTTCATCTGTTCCGGAACCACCTTGTTCCCAGCTCTCCCCAGCAGCGGTGTGTGAAAAGAATTAGGCATTTTCATGCAACTCTATTCATTTGTCCCATTTCTTTGCTGTAGTTTATTTCATGATTTGTCAGTCTTTCTCTTTTTGAAACAGGGTCTTACTTTGTACTTTGTAATTCTGGCCATCCTTGACCCACCTGGTCCTGTCTCCTGATGCCGGAACTAAAAGAGTGCACCACCACACCAGCCCTCAGCCTTCTGGATTCTGTTTTAGCAAGCTTCCCACAAAGGCCCAGACAGTCTTTTAGTGCCTGTGCAGCCTCCCAGCTCTGTCACTGTGGTATACAAGCAGCCATAGGCTGTGTTACAACAAACACAAAAGAGAATGGGTGTATTTGACAACTACTGCTTAGTTTGACAAAGAGTCAGGCTGGAAAGATGGCTCAGCACTCACTGCTGAGGGGAAAAGTGTGGGGACTGAGTTCGGATCCTGAGCACCCATGTAGACCCTGGGCATGGTGGCTTGCCTGTAATCTCAGCACTCAGAAGGTGGAGACGGGGTCTCCAGAGCAAGCTGGCAGGGAAGACTGGTGAATTGATGGTTAGCTCTGGGTCCAGTTAGAGACCCTGCTCAGTGCATAAGGTGGAGAGTGACTGAGAAAGACTGCTGATATCAGTCTCTGACCTGTGCACCTATGTGTGCTCACAGGATATGCAAACATGCATACATACATATATACTCATTTGTATACCATGTGCACTATGCACAAAACCAAAAACAGTTTTAAAAATGAGATTATTTTTAAAAGTATTAAGTATAGTATCAAGATTAAACTTCTTGAGGTATCATCATATCCCTGTGAAAGAGAATTCCAGAAAGTGAAATAACAGCCAGCACTCTTTTTTTTTTCTTCATTGTAGTCTCTGGCAAACATAGATGATGTCGTGAACAAAATTAGACTGAAAATAAGGTAAGTAACACATATGATTGTTAATTAGTGAAAAACATTTATTTACGGGGCTGGAGAGATGGCTCAGTGGTTGAGAGTACTGGCTGCTCTTCCAGAGGTCCTGAGTTCAATTCCCAGCAACTACATAATGGCTCACAACCACCCATAATGAGATCTGGTGCCCTCTTCTGAGCTGCAGGGATACATACAGACAGAACACTGTATACATAATAAATAAATCTAAACAAAACAAAACATTAATTTACTCATATCTGAATCACATTTTTCGATGAAAGCACTGAAGTCTCAAATTTAAAAATATTTATTTCTCCTGGGTTTTCATGTAAACTCTATGGCAAGGAACTGAATTCTGTGGCCAATGTTTAACTGCCTATGCCAAATGAAGGGAGCTGGAATAGACTGTTAAAAAAACCAAAAAAACGGTTATCAGACAGGCTGTGGTGGTGTACACCTTCAAACCCAGCACTCAGGAGTAGACTCAAGAGGGTCTCTGAGTTCTGAGGTAGCCTGTTTTATATAGTGAGGCCCCAGCCAGCTGGGGCTTACAGTGAGACCTTGTCTGTACACCCAGCATACACGAAGCCCTGGATTCAATCCTCAGCATGGCATAAACCCATAAACCAGGTGTGGATGCATACACCTGTAATCTTAATGTATGGGAACTAGAGACGAGATGATCAGAAATTCAAGGTCATCCTTGGCTACATGGTGAGTTTGAGACCTACCTGGGATACATGAGACCCTACCAAAAAATAAAGAAAAGGGAGAGGAGGAGAAAAAGTAACTTTCAAAGGAGGCAAAAACTTTTCTACAATATTTAATGGTTTTATTCTTTAGTAGGCTTACCTTTTTTAAGCTAAGACTCAGCAATGGAGATGGGGTTATACCTGTTGGTTATCTGTAACAACGATATTGATCTGCGGATTGACTTGGATGTGGTCCAGAACTAAAGACTTTAGTTAACCCAGGGCCTGATTGTCCATGTTAGTACTTCCTGCCTAGTAGCCTTGTTCTGGCCTATCTAGGTCTAGGTTTATAAGTTTGCTACCTAATAGGCACTAAATAAGTGTATTTTCATTATATAAGTAGTTTGTTTCATTGCTTCAAATGTATTTTGGAGATTTTGTGTGCATTTGTTTGTTTTTCTTTTTTTTGGAGACAGGGTCTTTCTATATCCCCTGACTGTCCTGGAACTTGCTTTGTAGACCAGGCTGGCTTCAAACTCAGAGATCTGCCTGCTTCTGTCCCCCGTCCCCCAAGTGCTGGGATTAAAGGTGTGCACCACTATGTCTAGCTTGTTATTGTTTGATTTTTTTTTTTTTTTTGGTGTTTTGAGACAGGGTTTCTCTGTATTGTTTTGGAGGCTGTCCTGGAACTCGCTCTATAGATCAGGCTGGCCTCGAACTCACAAAGGTCCGCCTGCCTCTGCCTCCCCAGTGCCGGGATTAAAGGCACGCGCCACCAACGCCCGGCTATTGTTTGATTTTTGATGAGAAAACTCATTTTGAAGATGGAAAACGTTCACTTGAGTCTAGAAGGTGAGGTTTTTTTTTTTTTTTCTGAACATTCTTTAGGTCTTTCAGTAAAAGGCACTGCTCCATAAATGATTTGTTCTACTGGTGCCTTAGGAAGCACCAAGGTGAGCTAGAGGGAAGATCAGGGATTAAGGTCACTTGTTGCTCTTGCAGAGGACCCAGGTTCAGTTCCCACGTTACTGCTCACAGCCGTCTGTAACTCTTGTCCCAGGGGATCTGACACCCCCTGTAGGCACTTGGCGTATATATGGTATACATACATACACACACACATACATACATATATACATGCAGACAAAACATTCACACACATAAAATAATAAAATAAGTAAGCCTTAAAAAAGCCTCCTTGTTTTGTTGGCTTCAGCTATAATGGCTCTAGAGGAGACCTCAAAGTTGCCAGAGTTTATATAGAAAGTAGAGACGTCCTGATGCACCAGAGACCCCTGTCAGCTAGCTATTTCCTGCATTCTTGCTACCATACCTTAAATAGATTCTTCAAGTGCAAAATGAAGCTGGCTGGTAGAAATCCCTCAGGTGGAGGCGCCATGCAGTCACTGTTGCTGAGTCCCTGGGAAAAGACATGCCGGAAGCCATAGATCTGCCTCTGACAGGCTGCACCATCAGGGCAAAAAGAGTAAGCACTGACTTTGCAAATCATACTGGCTCCTTGATCCTTGTAAGGTCTCCAAAGTAGGGATTTTGCAGTTGCTAATTTGAATTTGCTGGCTTATTTCTGTAAAACATCTGTAACTTTGTCATTGTTGGTTTACTATGTGAAAAACACTTAACAGTTTTATTGGTCTTTTCAGCCAGCTTCTGAATGTTAACTGTTACCAGTTTTTAAACAAAAGTAATCCTGAATCTGCACTGGTGGTGACTTCTTGTGTTCATGTTGCTCCTTGGTCCTAGGCCTTGTTCTTCTATCCCTTGTGCTCGTGTGATTTTCTGCATTAAATAGGTGCAGTGTGCAGAAGTTGATGAGTGAATTACTGATTGTGTGTTTCTTTTGGTCTACCCAGAGTTGCATTTATTTGAATGACTTATGTCCTATCATTTTTTTTTTTTCCGGCCAGGAGACTGGATGACAATATCCGTACTGTCGTAAGAGGTCAAACAAATGTGGGGCAGGATGGAAGGCAAGTAAGTGACGCATCCCTCCACATTAGTTACCATCCCCTAATTTTATAAAGATCAAAAACCAAGTGGCCAAAATGTTGGTCAGTTTGTTTGCGCTTCAACAGCAGGAAGCATGACTGACCTGCCCCACCATGTCTGGGGCAGTATCTGCAGGCCAGCCACGAGCTCTCTCACTCAGTGTCCTCCAGACCCAGATCATATATTAATACACAACTTACCCAGGGCCAGCATCTTGCAGGCTATGATGGACAAACTGAAGAGTTCCAGTTTTTCACCAGCTCAGACATGTCCTATGTACCGTGCCTAACTCGAGTCCCTTCTTTTATCTGTCAGCTTGGTTTTTGGTATTAGTTTGATTGCTGTAGACGTTGAGGCGGCCATGGTTCCTCACACCTGTCCTGACAGCCAGCAGGACTGGGTTCATTTCAGGATTGTAGGGTTCTTTCCTCCTCACTGTGGAGGGCTGTTGCAAGGAGAGGAAGGGGGAAGAAGCCTCTGGAGAGGAGGTATTTATTCTTCAGGACTGAAGGCAGATGTTAACTGTTAACCAGTTTCTTTTCTATTTGGAGTCTGTTTAGGCATCATATTTCAGAGGTTGCTGTCGTAACAAATGCTGAGATTGCCTTTCCCACTTTCCTCCCTGCAGTGTCTGGCCCTCCCTTTCATTTCGCTCACTTAGTCAGCTGCACACTGTTGGGTGGTTTCACTCCTCTCATTTGTCCTCTCCAGCTTTTCGCAGCACTGGGGAGCAAACCCAGGGCCTTGTGTACACTAGACAAGTGTTCCATCGCAGAACCACAGGCCCAGCCCTTGGTGGTTTTGAGACAGTGTTAACTGCTTAGCCTCAAACTCTAGGCCGTCCTGAAACTCTCAGTCCTCCCGCTTTGGCCTGCTGAGTGCCAGGGTTACAACCGCAGCCCACCATGACCAGCTCTCTGACAGTATAGTACCCATGCAGCAGGAGCGTTAGTCATGCTGCATCCAGATCAGGCAGAGAGGGGTAAATGCTGTTACACAGTTCCGTTTCTTCTTTTTACCCAGTCCAGGACCCCCCTCCCATAGAATCTCGGGTGGGTCTTTCTGATGTATTAATCTGATCTAGACCATTCCTCTCAAATTTGCCTCTCTCATCAGGGATTCCAGATCTTTCAGGTCAATAATCAGTCTTTACTACTAAGGCCTCAAGTAGATTAGGTTTTCTGTTGTTTTTTTTTTTTCTTTTACTTCACTTTCTTCCAGTTTTTATATTTTAAAACTTTACCCATTTAAGGGCTAGCCCAAATACTGATTCTTTTTTCATGATATTTTATTTATCCCAGTTGCATAACACCAAAGGACTTAGAATTTTAGGCTCAAGGAGACTTGACCTTCACCTGACCCTGTCTGCATCTACACAGGAGAGGCAGATGTGTGTCTTTCCTCTTGTCACCCCCAGCCCTCTGCTGTGCCTGCTTTCTGAGTTTGTTCTCCCTTGGCTTACTAATGAGTAGATCTTGGCCCCCTGGCTAGTTTGTAGTCTCCTTGGAAGCAAGAACTGTTTTTCATCATTACCCTTCAGTCCGCATAGTCCCTTATACAACTACAGTGAATATTTGGAGTGTCTTAGATTATTTATTGCAAACAGACAAATGCCCTTGCCCTAGACTGTAAAAACTTCATTTTAGTCATGTTTGAAGGGGTTTAAAGTTTGATTGGGGATGGTGGTGGTTCAGTGCTAGGGATAAACTGGGGTTTTCTGAATGCTAGGCAAGTGTGCATAGTTTTACCAATGAGTAGCATCTCTAGCCTGTGATTCATGTGTGAATAGTTCCAGGTTACTGTTACTTGGAATAGCACTACTGTATTTTGTGACTCAGCCTACATTTTGAATAGCTTACCAGAAACCTTAAAATACTTGGAAGTGTCTCAGGTATTTAAGATCCTAAGAATGTGAAAAGAAAGGGCTTTTTGTTGGGTCATGCTATGTCCGTACACATCCTGGCTGCTTATGTTTTAAGTTGTAGGTCATAAAAAAGCAGCGTGGGGGAGCAAGCTCCAGAAGGGGTAGGCCTCAGGAATGCCTCTCCCACCTTCACTTGGAAATGGGTCACAGGTTGCCAGCAGGGCAGCTCATATTTCAGAGAGCAAGACCATGTTTTCAAGAATGTTTAGATCACATTTCAGTCCGTGATGGAATTTTGTGTTGTCTCCTTAGAATCCAGACAGAGAGGAAGCCCAGAAGAAATAATCACTTTTCCTGTCATCCCCTCCATCTGTCTCTTCCAGCAGATTGAAATGCCAGTTCAAGTGGGGACTTTCTTCACCAGAGCATGCTTGGTTCTGTCCTTGTCAGCTCCTAGGGATGATAGCATGACTCTGACCGGTGGTTTGCTGAAAGGGAGTCTCCAGCTGACTATCACAGATGAGGGGGTTACGGATATGCCAGAATACTGGGTTTTATCGGTCAGCAGGCCCTATGTTCCTTCCCTGCCATGGAACATGAGCAGTTTGCTTTCAGAACTTGTTTCCTCAGGGGCTGAGAATACTCAGGAGAGCAGCAGTGGGAACAGAGGGAAGCTCCCTTCCTTGATGGACTCTCTCCATCCCTCTGAGCAGCTCGTCACCTGTGTACAGAACACTCAGCCTTATTGCACATCATGGAGTCTTCTTTGAGCTGGTTTTCTTTTTGAGACAGGGTCTCATGCAGTGCATTCTGCCCTTATAGCCTCCTACCTCCACCTTCTAGGGTTACAGATGGATGCCTCCAGACCTTACTCTAATGATCTCTTGGAAAACATTTCAAATGATTTGTTGTTATGGAAGAGGGTAATAAGCATGTATGTCAAGGCCAGAGAACAAGTTTGCAGAGTCAGTTCTCTCTCCACTTTTCTATGGGTTCCAGTACTGATCTCAGCTCACTAGGCTTTCATGCCACTGAACCATCTCTTGGGCCTTTTAAAAGACATTTTTAGCAGGAGGTGTGTGTGTGGTGCATGTGTGTGGTATGTGTGCATCAGTGTATGGAGGTCTTGCTTTTTGAAGCAAGGTATCTCACTGAACCTGGAGCTCACTGATTGAGCTAGGCTGGCCCTAGATAGCCCTAGCAAGCCCTAGATAGCCAGCCTCCCCAGCACTGAGGTTACAGATACATTTTTGGGGCATGCTAGAGGTCAAACTCAGGTCCTCATGCTCCTTTACTGAGAACTTTACCAACCCTGAGAACAGTTCTTTTTTTATTGTTTAGGGCTGGACGTAGTAACACACACCTTTAATCCCAGCACTCAGGAGGCAGAGGTAGGAGGATCTCTGTGAGTCCAAGGCCAGCGTGGTCTACAGAGCTCTAGTTCTGGGACAGTCAGGACTATATGATGAAACCTTGTATTGGAGATAGATAGATAGATAGATAGATAGATAGATAGATAGATAGATAGATAGAAAATAGATAGATAGATAGAATTGTGGGCAGGAGAGATGATTCAGTAGTTAGGAGTGCTTGTCGATCTTTCAGAGGAACCAAGGTTCCTAGTAACCATGTTGGGCAGCTCCATACTACTGTAACTCCAACTGTGGGGGATCTGATGCCTCTGGCCTTTGTGGACACTGCACTCCCATATACAAATCCACACAGAGACACAGGCATATGCACATAAATAAATTTTTAAAAAAAATATTTGGGCAGATTTTTTAAACTGAAGATCCAATAAGGCCGTTTTTTAGTTTTTGGAACACCAGCTGCTTGATTAACAATTTGCTAAATAAACATTTTGGAGAGCCTTTGGTTGTTGACTACCTCTCCTGTAGGCCAGCATGTAGTGGTTTAGTCTGCGACCTCTTCTAATCGTACTACAATGCTCTTACAAAGTCCCTGTGGCACTGAGACCTCCCCATTTTCGTCTGTTGAGATCATAAGTCCAAAACCTTAATTAGATGTTCACATGTTGGAAATGTGTGGATAAAGTGAGTCAGTTCATGCTCTGATATGCTCTGAAATTCATGCAGCTTCCCTAGAATTGAAACACAACTACTGGGAGATAGCTAGAAAGAGGTGAATATAGGAGCAGGTTAGAGGAGGGCAAGCTGGCATTGAAATTGCAAGAGGGGCCAAAGCATGACCAGTTCCAGGAAAGCTCACTGAGAATCACTGATGCAGGGTCAGCCTCTGGCTTTGTGTCTTTGTGCAGCTTGGCCATTGCAAGACTTTCTTTGAGTAGAGCATGACTGAGGTTTAGGAGGGAAGAGAATTATTGCTACCCTCTCCAGCTCTCTGCTCATCATTGCAGCTCAGGTTTGGAAAAAGGTAAGGCAATTGTACTGTGAGCTTCCACCCAATTGAAAATACTTTATATAGCTTCTCTGGAAGTTTCTGATTCCATAGAAGCATAGATATGTATGAGATGAGGAGATCACAACTGCATTGGCTCATAAGACACACTATTCCAGATGCGTTTAGACTGGACTGAGTAGGGAAGTATACTTTGTTCTGGCCTTCATCAGTTTCAGTTCTGCCAGCTGGACCATGGTATACCTAATCCCTTTCCCCATTATAGCTTCTGTCATTTAGAATGGCTGTTGTGTTCCTTTTCTAACATAGTCATCCTGAACTCCCTTAACTCTCTGATGTAATTGCCAGAGTTTTCACTGTTCTGGTTCTTTGCTCTGCATGGGGTTTGTCAGCATCCCCTTAATGTGTGATCCCTAGGAGCAGACATTGTGTGAACATGCAGGGGGGTACTCTATCTCCTTGCTGTAGACTGGGGCCTTGTTGTGAGGGTTCCTTCTCTAGGGAAGCACAAGCCACTATCTACACCCTCCTCATAAGGTCTCAATGACAAACTAAAGTACAGTTTCACCAGAGTTCGCCCTGGGAGACAAATGAGCTTATTGAATTCACTTACAGTACATAGATGAGGGCTTACTGGCAGGAGTGTGGATAGCCCCAAAGCAGTCACACTTGGAAGTCTTTACCCAGTATAGGTGATGCCTTCCCCATAGCAACATATAGGGAAGCATCCCGTTAATGATAG